TTGAATTTAATCGAATTAACTAATTGATTAAAAAATCAATCGATTAATGCCAACACTGGTACATCGGGTATGATATTCTAGTAAAACAGCTTCCAATTTCAAGCGGTTCAAAGTCGCGTTAATTTTTAATAAGTTCTTTTTTGGTTACGGCTTTTGCGTTTTTTTTTTTTTTTATATAAAAAGTGCAATTTATAAAACCCAGCTTTTAAATGATAGTTCAGTGGCCAAAAACGTGCATCTTGTTCGATAACTCTCGAAAGCTCATTTCGTGTGCGATATGTCGAATAAAGCGTTGCTTTTGAGCCTAACAAAAGAAAACGTGTTATAATTGTAGTAAGTTGAATACCAAAAGCCATCTTATGGATCTTATAGAGACATCATCGTTATCAAAGGGAATATGCTTTGAAAGGAATCGGTGGTTAGAAAAGTTCATACACTAATACATTTACTAAAAACTAATTTTTTTTTCGTGAAAATTTTTTGTATAACATTTAAAATTTTTCTTGTTAAATTTTTTACGTTTTGGAAGAACCCCACAATTGTTTTTCCGCTTTTTACATGCCCTTAATTTTTTGGATTTTTATATTATGAGTAAATGAGGAAGCTGATCAGTTGACCAGAATGGACCCCGACAGCACGTGAGCCCATCCTTGCGGTAGGTGCTAACACGATAAAGGAAGTGCTCATAAAAAAAAATACCTGACTGAGGGAACTGCACTGGCAAAACACCATAGGTTAAGGTAACATCTTGCTAGGGGGCAAAATCTAAAGAGATAAGTATTTGCACGGGTCTTTGTAGGCTAAGCTGCTCTCGTTTTCTTATTCTTACCAAATTCAGGCCACAAGTTTATTAAATTGAATACAAAGCCATACAGTTATGTATGTAAGTACATATAAAAATATGTATGTATTAGAGACATTAGCTCCTTAACAATAGTAAGAGATTTAATTTTTTTAATTTTGAGTTGTGTCGTTATTGCAGGGGACAATCGATATGTAAAAATTTCCCATGCATATTTCGATATCTGAATTTTTAATGTCAATTACTTATTTAACCGAATGACTTAAATCATCATTGGTTATACTAATGTATATTTGTATTTACAAGTACATACATTTATTATGAGTTATTTAGTAACTAAAGTAACTGTAGCATGAAAAATATATAAGATTGATTTGTAAAGCGAGAAAAATCTCAAGAAATATTTTTCATTCCATCTGTCGGTACTTTGCCGCCGTTGTATATTTTCTTGAAGAAGTCCTACTAATGTTATAAATTGAAAAGTTGGTGAGTATGTTAACATAGTTCTTGCTCTTTCACGCTAAGACGGCTGGAAGCAATCAATGAAATTCGGCGCACAGATAGGTTATAACTCTTAAAATCAGTTAATTATTAGGTTAAAAAATATACTACAATTAGATGGCCCACAAAACGATCTATTTCGAAAATATTTTTACGGTGGTTGCCACCAGTTAAAATTTTAAAAAAGATAAATTAATTAGTTAAATAAAATATGAAAGCAATATTGGTGTCAAAAAATAAATCATTTCAAGATCGAGATTTTCCGAAAAAGGTTGCCACCTGTTCCAATAGCTAATGTCAGTTTATATAACAAGCTAAACGAAAAATTTATTTCAGAAATATTTTTAAAGGGGCTACCAGCCGTTTGGAAGTTCAAAATCAAATGAAACAACAAGTTAAATAAAATATTTTAAAATGGGTATCAAACGGGTCGGCCGCTGTGGTGTAGTGGTAAGCAGTGCGCGCTTCCACTCCGCAACGCCTGGGTTCAAACCCTGGTCAAAGCAACATCGCAAAAAAATATAGAAAAAGGTTCTTTCTTAACAGCGGTCGTCCCTCGGCAGGCAATGGCAAATCTCCGAGTGTATTTCTGCCATGAAAAACAGCTTCTCATAAAAATACAATCGCCGTTCGGAGTCGGCGTAAAACTGTAGGTCCCTCCGCTTTGTGTGACAACTTCAAGGCGCACGCCACAAATCGGAGGAGAAGCTCGGCCAAATACTAACATATGTGTAAGCGCCAATAATAATAATAATTATTATCAAACGGGAGTGGTTTTAAGAAAACTTATTCAGATAAAATTTTACACTGAGATAGCTTATGGCCTGTATTAACATGTATTCCTGAAAAACGTAGCCTACTACCTATTTTAAAATTTAAATTATATTTTAAGTTATAAGTTTAACGTAATTTTACAGAATAGGTGCCAAACGAAATCGATTTTAAAAAGTTTTAGTACAAAAGCACTTGCAAAATTATTTCCACCAATTTAAAAATTCAAATTTAATTTTAATGCAGCTAGTATTTGGAATGCTCTATATAGAAAAAAATAAAACCCCTATTTTTTTATTTTGAAATCTAAAAATATTTAGAGAATTCTCAAAACGCTCAAAATTTTCCATATATTTTATATCGGAAAAACAATTTTTCGTGGAAATGTTATAGAATTCTTGAAAATCAATATTTTTCAATTAAAAAACTCTGTTTCTCTTCAGGAGATCCCCAGTAATAGTACCCAGTTGTTTATATAAAAAATTGTTCGTAGTAACTATATTTATAGGTCCGCCAAAAACCCCAGAAAATGCAATGGGGGGACCAATAAAAAATTTTTAGTATTAAAAATGGTTAAATAAGCAATGGGTTATTATTAATGGAAATCTGACGAGTACCATAGTTTCCGATCAAAAACTATTGATTTTCGAGAATTCTATACTATTGCTACGAAAAGTGGTTTTCTTTCCTCTAAATATTTTTTGATTTCAAAATAAAAATTTGGGGTATATTTTTTTTAAATATAGATCCTAGGGGGTGAGAATACTAAAATTACGACTTTATTTTTTTGTAACTACCCTAACGTACATATATTCGTTTGTACCTAAAATCTTTGTTAGGAGAAGCGCCATCATTGAGCCGCACAATTTTCATTTCCATATGCTGCTCTAAATCAAGGCAATCTAATATTTAAATTTTGCTATCTGAGGAACTTCTCTATAGAATACAGAATTACGAAAGTGAAGTCCGATTGTTGTTTTTTTTTTAAATAGCAACCTTATTGTGCATGGAATTTACTTTTGGTTAATATTTAATAATAGAAACGAAAGCTGTGTGACAAGAGATTTCATGCGAAATAAAACAAAACCAACAGCGAGGCTGCGAGTCCACGACTTTTGAGATATTTCAATTTCCCCGACTTTTGTTCAATTACATTTTTATTTCTTTTCAATTTGGTTCTTCTTTATGTAATTTCCAAATTGGCACGCAATGCAGCGAATGCTCATATTTCAATTTTATTGCTTAATAAAGCGATAAACGAACATTTATCACACCTGCTATGAAGGCGACGCGACTGCAGCGGCAGCGGCCAAGACGACAGCAATGGGGGCAGGCTGCGAAAAAAAAAACTGCAGACATTTGTACAGTCAGGAAGTTATTGGGAAAATATTACAACGGAAATGGCAGCAAAAGTTAATTCGAAATCAATTACTTAGCCCAAAAATATCGATTTCCTAGGAAATTGTTTGTGGTGAACGAATTCCGCACGCTGGCAACAAAAGAAAAAGCGACAAATAAATTTTGCCAATTTCTATTTTACACTGTCAATAAATAAGCTTTGATCGCATTTTGCTGTGCGCGCGCTTACTTTGTATGATTTTTATGGGCGTGCATTGGGCGTTCTTACAGCTAAAGTGTCGTCCAACAATTTCAGTCCTAACGAATGCCGTCGCCACACCTCTAATGACACTTCTGCAACGCCTACACATGCTGAGCCAAAAACTTTTCAAGTTCAGTAGACCACTTTGGCATACTTTGGCTGTACATACATACATAACTATGTATTCTTATGCACTACATATACATACATGCATACGTACATACATATGTACAATGCAATCGGTTTTCCTTGCAATGGGTTTGCTGATACGAAATTAATTTCGCTTGTCCACAAGCAACTTTTACTTCATTTTCTTTTGTTCATAGCCATGCTTTTGACTATACCAATAACCTCGTTCGATGACGTTATTCCGGAGTTGATTTTATTAGTGCGAAAATGAAACTGGTTGGCAGAAAATGAAAGAAGAAATTATGAGGGAGTGGAAGTTATGTCACTAAAACATTGAAATTAATTTGGGCTATACGAAGCTGGAAAATTTGGGGCAAAAATAATGAGGACGGTCAGTGAAATCTTCGGCTTTCGGCTTGAACTTGAAAGAAAATGCGAATTCAGCAAAGTATTTGAATCTTTCAGTAACGGAATTTTTTGTGCAAAATTTGGAAAATAAGGCCACACAAAGTATGACAATTAAATTTTTGTTAAAAAAAAACTCAAAAGGGTAAGCTTTTGGAATATATACACCACATTCACAATTTCTCACCAACAGCTTTGTAACAATTTGCACGTCATAACGGTGAATGTGACAATTTAGATTTATCCTACAGTCGCAACCGGCTTTGATATTTACACGTGTTATTTATATATATTTAGAAATTTCACCATACATACCTACATACATACATAACGCATACACAGGTAAAAGTTAAAACATAAAAAAACGAAGAAAGCCCTCCCCCCGCCCCCGCTATCACTTTCAATAAGCATTGAGATTTAAATAAGCTCTCAGAAGAAGTTGAAATTGAATATCAGCAGCAGCAGGGAGGAGCTTCATACACACCCACATTCCTCAGCGCATAAAATTTCACTCTCAACGCCACCTTTTCACTTTCAACAGAGAAACAAACAAAAAAAAGTAGTACCTCCTTGCCTTTTTAAATTTCTAAATGTTAGTTTACTGTGAAATTTTTTAAGCCAATTCACACACATCTGCCAAATACATATCTACTATATGCACATATGCTTGTACGTGCGCTTTTATGTTATTACTTGCTTCATTTTATTTGCACTTATTTTCATAAATTTTTTCTTTAAAGAAAAATATTTATTTCCGTTTCATTTTTTCTATTTTCGCTTCATTACTTCTAGGTTTTGGGAAACCGATATACGTACAGTGCGTAAAACGAATCGTTCGACAATGCGGCGCGGCAAAAGCGGTGGTTATGGCGGAAGTGGCGCTTTTGCCGATATGGGATTACCGTAAGTATTGAAAGTATACATATATGTATGTACATACATTTTGGTGTGAATGTGCGAAATTGCCAAAGTGCTTTTGTGTTGGCACATAGGTAAGTACATATGTATGTATGTAAGTGTGGAAGTATAGAGAAGTTTTTACGCATTCGCTTATTGTTACGTATACGCATCGTATTGCCAACTAAAGAAGCAGCTGGACTGCGAGATATAAATATTTTCCTTTTTGATTAAAGTTTTCATTTTTAGTGTTGCAAATATTGAACTCATATTCAGACATAAATATGTACGTCTATCTGTTCGCACTTGAAAGAACAATTTAAGCTGATTTCGGGCTTTTTTTTGTAAAGAATTGAAAAAATTGAATTAACTTATACTGAACCTAACCATAACTGGAATAATAAAAGTATCGCTAACTAATAAGGACTATCCAAAAAAATATTGAAGATTAAATTTATGGTACCGAACGTTTGCTTTTATTAATAAACTCATAAATAAACGAAGACTTTAGTGGCAGAAAATTAAAAAGTTTTTTTTTCAGCTTTTCGCTAGTTGTTACCAATCCGCCAAATGCGCAATTTTGCCATTTATTCAAAAAACGAAGTAGCCAGCCCTTACCACTAAAAAGTGGCACATGTCTCACATTTATCGTGAATATTGGCATAAGTCAAAAACTCTCGATAGGTTTGTCATGCTTGTATGTGAAATAACGACACATTTCGTTTTGTGCCGTTGTTCAACAATACAATTGGAATTTTTTTCGTTTAACTGCATACGAGTTGTTACTTATTACGTATTTTTGCAGTCCATTACTTACTAAATCTTTAGAAAAAATTATAATTGGAAAGCTTACACATTTCTCCTACATAAAGACTGCAAATAAACGGGAATAATTACGTTCCAAGACATATTATAGCTAAATTACGAAACAAAATATCATTAATTGCCTCTTCTGAAATATATGAAATTTTTAGTTGTGTCATTATTATAGAGGACCATCGAAATGAGGAAAAATCAGATAAATTCAGACGCGTGTATATAATTAAAATCATAAACACTCCAAGTAACTTTTACAGAACTAAATGCCAGATTTTGTGGAAATTAATTAACTTTAGCTCGGCATATAAATCTAAAAACAATAAAAAGCGAAACTTATTTATTAGCATAAATAAAAAGCCAGCAGAGCGATAATGAATTTGAGAAAAAGTGTGGTTGGCTAAAACTTTAAAATTTTAATTAATCCACAGCAACGGAGGGCCCCCCCCCCCTATTTTACGATGACTCTGCATTAAAAAAAAGCGCATACCACTGCATACATAAATAAGTTTATAGATAAATACATATGGATGTATGTATATGTATGTAGGCAGCTAACTAATTTGTATCAATTGCCAAGTGTACAGCGAAAATTACAAGGAAAGAAAAAAGGCTGCACAAAAAAAGCAAACAAATAATGGGAAGCCCTTCAATAGAGAGAGGGCAAAAACTCAGCAACTGACTGCTGCAACCAGTGCCAACTATTGTCTCTTACACAATTCATGCATTGCCACTGTTGTTGCTCAATTTTTTTCCCCCAACTAACCAGTCAAACTATGTAAAACTGTTGGCACAATCGTCTGTTGCTTTTTCAACAATTCGCAATTTTCATTCACAGAATTGTAATAGAAATGTTAATGAGAATATGACTCAGAATGAAAACGAGAATACAAATGCAAATGGTAGAAATAATAATAAAAATGAAAACGAAATTGGCATAGAGCGTATGGAACTGGCAAAACGGCGAAAGTGGTAAATAAAATTCAATTTTAATTACGTATACGCCACGTCGCTCCGTACAAATAAGAGGAGCCTATATATGTACTACAGTACTATAGTAGTAGGGCATTAGGGCGCAACAAGATTATACATAAGTGAAGTTAATGCAAAAGTTGAAGTAGCGTAGAAGAAGCTGAAGACGGCAGCTCGCGAAATTCGCTTTACGTGAAAGTGCGCTGTCTTACCGCCATCGCGCCGAAAAAAAAAAATACTATTCAAATGTGAATTTTTGCATGACTTCAAGCGGATAGATTTTTATAAGCTTTTGTGCGTTCGCTCATTCTTTCAGTATGCTTTTGTTATATACTCGCACGTATTTCACGCTTCTATTTGCTTTTTATCCGCTAATTCTACTTTTGTTTCGCAAATAAATTTTTTTTTTTTTTTTTTCAATACAATAATTTTTACTTTTTCACTACGCGCTCACCAACAGCAGCTACCAAGGTCTGGATGAGCCACGTAGTCGTGAACTGGATACCGTATTGGAGCAGGCGCTGAAGGAGGCTGAGGACGATGCTACATTCAAGAAGGTCAAGCGCATGAGTTACTCCAGCAATGCAGCGGGCGGTGAGGTAAGTAGTAGTTGTATTCATTAAAAGCATATTGCGTTTAGAACTTTTTTTTAATTTTCCGCCATTCTCCGCAAATTTCTACTATTTTATTGCGAGGTTTTTGTTAATCTCCCAAGTTAAGTTGCGCATAAAAAAAAAAATGTGAATGAAATAATAAAATGAATGAAGGTATGTGCACATGAATGAAAGTAAGTCGTGAATAATTTTAAAATTGTATGGATGGTGTGCCAGTGCGTGTGTGTGTGTGTGGGTGTATATGTTACCATGTTTTGCGGATTAAGCACTTGACGTAGATAATAGCGAACGCATTACTCTCAACTGCTCCCAAGTGGGCGAAAGTGGTTGGCATCGAGCGTAAGCTATTAGGTGGTTGATTAGTGGTTTTTACTTTTGATGAGAAATAAAGCGTACAATATTAGCAAGTGAAAACTTTACGAGGTCATTTAATACAATTTTAAATTAATTTTATAGAGTTGTGAACGATGTATGTATTTATTAAGCGTTGGTCGTTCAGCAAATAAATATGCAAACTTTAATAGTACAAGTATAATACATGATGCTTTATTATTAAGTTTAAGTTAAGATGTACCTAACCTAACCTATTAAGTATAACATTGATTACCATTGTTCTAAAATCCACCACCTCTCACAAAAAAAAAAAAAATCTAAATATCTTTATTCACCGACACTATGTAGCTTTCAAAATATCTATCGAATAACTATCAACTACATTTGCATTTCGTTACGAATATACTTCCCCAAATACATGTTTAAGGTTATCGATATATATGTGTTCATAATAATCGATAGATTTATCGAAATATACATTACTAAATATCGCTCTTCAATCGAATATAAGCCCATTTTGTTATTTTTTTAAATAATGTTATCGATATGTTCGATAATTATCGATTCATGTGTGAATGGTGGCAAGGCACAATGAATAGGTAGCAGAAGCACGGATACAATTTCGATTTTTTTCACTCAAAGTGGCCCATGAATTGTCATTTTTGTTTACAATTCACCTTTCTATGTTTTCTAGCTGAGATTTTAAAAGAAGAAAGGGGTTAATATGGTGCATGCACATCGCTTTGTGCAATGTGCTTCGCATACAACTGCTTAAAGATCATGTTTTAGGAAAGGCTGAAACCCGTCGTCAACGAACTGTCAGCCTACTTGAGAAATGGTAGTCCCAACATAGACTCGCCATTTACAATACTCGAAAAGTCCTGCGAGGGAACTACGGATTCACTCCACCTTCTTTCTGGGTTCAAAGTTGTTTTCAAAAGCTCATAATTCTAATTCTAATTCTGAAATTGGTAGCCTAGTACAGAGCTTCAAAAAGTGTGTTCCGCGGAGCCCAAGGGTTCCATAGAAAAGTCACCGAAGTTCCGCGAAATTAATTTTGGTATGGTAGTTGGTATGATTGCCGTACTGAGTACCATACCTACATAAGGGCGTTGATAGCTTGTGTTTTTTTTTCTAACCGGTAACCTGAAATCATATTCAGATAATTTTTCGGATGGTAGTAGTAATATCGATTTGGTACAAAATCCATTTACGAAGCATTCATAGATTTCCAGAGTACTTCGACATTGAAACACACATTTGAATCTGTGTCTCTGAAGAGTTTTGGGTTAGTGTTAATAGTAAATATCACGAAGTCGCTAAAAAGGCCATCTTAACTTTGCTTCCTTCTGTCACAATGTACTCTGTCAACAGGGTTTTTAGCTCATACATATACAAAAAAAAACAAATTCATTTCGAAATTGGATGCTTATTCAGAAATGCGCATACCGCTTTCAGACAAATATCGAACTATTATATTATGCAATAATTAATAACAGTGAAATAATTTCATTCTCCATATAAAAATTTAAAGTATGTGTATTATTTCTAGTAAAAGTTTTTATTCACATTTAAATTGCACTGCCTTTGATTTTTAGTAATATGATGTGGGGTTCCATTAAACGAAAGGTAAGGTAGTAAGGGTTCCATAATCTTAAAAGTTCAAGAACCCCTGGCCTAGTGCATGGTAAAATTATGCCAGGTCCGGCCCGACCGCAAGGAGAGGGAGGGGGTTTTGGTGGGTTTAAACCCCCCTGTTGGAGGGAAATATGCATACAAATTTGCCATCATTTAGTATATGATTATATTTGTAAAAAATATTTTAAGATCTCAAACATTTAAGATCTCTTTTCAGAGATAGTAATCGAAAGTTCAAGCTTTAATTTAAGCCAGGAAGGTTCTATCACCTTTTGTTTCTTTGCTAGAGCTTCTAAAATATTGCAAAAAACACGATTTATTCACACTTTTAAATCTTTTTTTTTTTTTTTTTTTTTGAATCTGGAGCTGATGGAAACTCTATGCTTACAAAAAAAGTCTATTAAAAACGGCTTTACCGATTTCCGTACCAAAATGTGTTTATATTTTTGTTGGGATCGGTTATCCATTAAAAATTAGCGCAAATTCAGATTTCCGTTGTTTTGCAGACATGTTTCCATATGTGGTCCATAACACCCTTCGGTCCCCTACTTAGTTATCGTTTTGCAAAATAATTCATGGGCAGGGAACGAGCACACAATGGGCTAGCTTTTCTCAATATCCATAACAATCTGGATGTTACGGAGGTACGGGGCATCCTGTTCGAGCGACCTCACTTTGGTTGACTTTGTAAACCTTTTCAATTCAATAACTAATTAAAATGTTACTGCTTCCGCGTTAAAATGTCATCCCTCATCGATTTTCCTATATTAACCTCTCCTCAAATTAGTGTTCTTTAACCAAAAAACCATGCCATTGAATACAAAGAGTTGAATTGATAGGATTACAACAACGGGCATATCAAACTGGCATAACCTTAAGTACCTCCAAATTCACTAATTCAGAATTTATTTTCTCACAAATTCTTTTAATTTTCGCCTCTCCATTCTTCGAAAGATTTATTTTATTGCACAGTTTACAACAAATCACTGAAATGGCAATTATCGGTAATTGTTTCAATTTAGGCGACCGCAAAATGTGTAAATTAAAAAATTTCTAAAAATGGAAGAGCTTTGCTCTACGGAGAGACCATTACTCAGCACTTCCGTCGTGACGGTCAGATTTACATTTTTTTAATCTTTTTTTTTTTTTGGGTAAAAGTCAATTGAAAGGCTTGCGCTCTTGACCTCGCCTATTTGCTAATTCAACCGCACAAATGACTTCCGGACGGCCACGCTAGTCCGCTAGATACTCGTGCAGCCAAAATTAAAAAAGACCAACAGCAAAAGTTCTACTCATTCCTAGTACAGAAACTCATACAAAAGCAGACACAATCGCCTTTAAAGCTCGCTGCCTGCGTGCACACAAACATACATACATACATACATATAACGCACATTGATTTTCCGCAACACAACTGCCAACGCTGAACTTATAAATCTCCCAAGTCAGTCGGACATTCAGACGGCCAACCCTTTGCCGTTCACTGCCTTGACGGGGCGCTGACCCGTGAGTGATGCACACACATACACGCACACACACACAGAGTGCCGCAGAGTAGCCTTTTAAAGCTCCTTTGCTCCTTTGCTAGCCTTTTATTTCGACCATTGATTTATGCTTGCGTGCTTTTTTCTTTCGCCGCCTTGTGGGGTTTCTCTACCAATTCCTTTTCCAAAACTTTTATTTTTTATTTTTTTTTCAACTCGTAATGCTTGTATATGCGATGTGCGAGTAAATAAATTAGCTCAGCTCATGAAGACCACACAAAATACGAGTTTCCGCAGATACAAATGAACATAAATAAAATCAGTACAATAACAGTAAATGAAGAGCCGAAAAATTAACAAAGAACGGCAAGGATGAAAGCAGAAAAGAAGCAGAGAGCGGAAAAGCAGCATTTCCGCAATTTATATCTTTAGTCTTTTCTGGCTGGTTGTGTCTTTGCTTGAGTTAAAATTTTTTGATTTTTTTTTCTCTCCACCCGCTGCTGATGATGATTGAGCACGCTTGAGTATCCGTCTTCGTGCAGGCATTGTTTAATTGCCGGTAATTAACTTTAAATGTGTGGGTGGCGAATATCGTGGGGAAGAATAGAAGCAGAAAGAGAAAGCGAGTTTGTGTTCAAGGCGTACAAATGGGCGTGGGCGTGGGTGAAGGGCGTGGCAACAATGGGAAATAAATTACAAGTTAATAGCGATGATGATCTGATGGCCATGGCCAGTGCACCACTGGCTGTCAACAAGTACAAATATTGTTGCTGTAATTGATCATAAAATTAGCAAGCGGGGCAGTGGCGCGAGAGGGTAAATTTAAATTGAGTGGACATTTTCTGTGCTTGAAAGGACAACAAAGAGTGGTTAGAGATGCGAGGGCTCTTTGAAAAAAGGACGACAAAACTTGTCTTAAAAAGTAAAAGAATTCATTAAAAAGAATCAATTGAAAAAATATATAAAAAAATTAAAAAAAATATGTTAAATAAAAATAAGAAAAGTAAATATATTAGATATTTTAAAAATAAATTAACTGAATGGAAATGGAATAAAGTGAAGTGGGACGAAATGCAAAAATATGATTGAATTCATTCCAACACCATGAAGGAAGATGAAATGAGTTGGCTTGAAATTAATTGAAGTTATATGAATGAAATGAGATTAAATTGCATGAACTAACTGAAATTAGACAGAATGAGTTATATTGAAGGAAACCAAAATGGAGGTCAGTTGAAATGAAATCAAGTAAAGTGAAAGATAAACCAAGATAAACCAAATGAACGGAATGATAGTTCGTGCAGCATACGAAAGGATTCTTTCAAGGTGTGGTCTCATCAAGCGCAGCCAATCAGCTAGCAAAAATGTTAACATCAAAATTTACAAAGTCATTTTAAAATGTAAGTGGATTCATCGTACTGTTCATAATTACGAAAAAAAAAATGTTGACACAATGGAATGTTTTAATTTGTATCAATCAATGTGTATGCTGTCAGTTTAAAAATTTCTCTGGGAACATCCAATAAACTG